TCCATCTGCATTCTCGTTGGATTCTGGAATACTCGGATTGCTATGTAATTGGACAGTGCGATTAACATTAAAGATATAAAATTTTACATGCTATCTATAAAGAAGCAAGAACATACTAGTAAGTGATGGTACTGTTCGAATTACTTGCGGACGAATCTATAGAACTATCGGCAAAAAATTGAAATAGTTATTTATTTGATTAATTAATTAAAAGAATAAGATATAAGTGTGTGTAAAGGTTTTATTGCAAAACATATGATGCATTTACTTAATTTTAAGATGCATACCTCGACTCAGGGTTGTGAATATTATTAGTTCCATTACTATTTAAAGTAGGTCAATGCTTTTATTAAGAATCAAGGTAGTCAAAAATATTAAATTTCAAATGCAAATGCAACTTACACCGTAGGACTTTGAGAAATTGAATTCGTCGGCGTCGTGCTATTATGTTCAATAAAAAGAAATTGTAATGAGCAATTGAGACATAAAGTTCAGAAACGTTAAACACACTCACGTTGGTAAAGTATCCTGTTGATTACTATTCTGTGAATTTGAATCATCGCTTTAATTTGATATAGGCAAGTTAGATTAGTTAAATAAAAATCACCACTCACGATCGAGATAAGAAAGCTATTGGATTCAGCAAAAAAATCTTTATTACAACAAAAGAAAGCTAAATAGATTGATTTTAATGACCGGATTTAATTTTTTTTAGTTTAAATCCTGATTTAGATATCAAAAATAAAATCCAATATCAAGAATTTCTTTTAACGAAGCTTTCTTATATCGAGAGTCGCTTGTATCATTTAGTAAGATAGAAATAATTATATTTACAAAGAAGAACCCGTGACAGTTGTGGAGGTCGGAATGTTACTATTATATATTAGCATTATTAGTAAATTGAGGTCGATATTTAATCTATCATTAATAATTTTAGGATTGTTCTTGAACTTACTTTGACTGTTTAGTATTATTATCTACCTTAGTTGCAGTTGTTATGGATTCTGAATTCGAATGACTAAGACAAGAAAGAAAATGGTAGGTACAAAAAGCCTTGATAAATAAGCGATTCTAAGTTTAAATATAAATTATTACCTTTGAGTGTTTCCGGCAGATGTAGCTTTTTGTTGTGAACTACTAAAGAAAAAAGCTTTATTTATTTGAATATTTTGTTTATTGACATCAGAATTAACTTACGTCTCATCCAAAATTGAAGATGCTTGAGTAATCAATTGTGAAGTAGTGGTCGGTGATGCGATAGGGTTATTGCTATGGTTTTCGTGTGGTTTAGGTGTAAGCGTCGCGAAGGTAGTGATTATTTTAGAAGGTGGTGCATCGCTATTGCCCTCTTGTGGTTTGGGTGTAGATATCGCAGAACTAGCGGTCGGTCTATTCATAATAAATT